GATCACCTTGATGACATCATGGATTGTCAGTAAATCGTTGAATATTATGTACAATAAATCGTTGAATCATCGATTCTATCATCAGGGCTCGTCAGTAAATCATGGATTGTCAGTAAATCCTTGAATATTATGTACAGTAAATCGTTGAATCGTCGATTCTATCATCAAGGCTCGTCAGTAAATCATTGAATATTATGTATAGTAAATCGTTGAATTGCCCTGTTCAAAAGAAGAACCGACGATTCTGTACAGTAAATTCTGTACAGTAAAATTGTGTATCGCCCTAATGACATCATGGATCGTTAGTAAATCGTTGAATATTATGTACAGTAAATCGTTGAATCGTCGGTTCTGTCATCAAGGCTCGTCAGTAAATCGTTGAATCGCTGGTTCTATCATCAAGGCTCCTTAGTAAATCGTTGAATCGCCCGGTTTTAAAGAATAACCGAAATCGTTGAATCATTCGGTTCTAAAGAAGAATCGGTGATTCTGTATAGTAATGACATTATGGATTGCCCTAATGATATCATATATCATCCGTACAAGTTAAAATGATGTCATGGATAGCGCTGATGACATCAGGTTCAACCAACACATTATGGATTGCCCTGATGACATCATGGATCATCCGTACACGTTAAAATGATGTCATGGATAGCGCTGATGACATCAGGTTCGACCAACACATTTACACGTGGCCACACATCAATACTTCGTGGCCACGCATCAATACTTCATGACGTAGGGGTTGGTTTTCTATTTTTATAGGGCCTCTTCTTCCCACATCTCTTCGATGCGGGACAATTCCTTAATATACGTTTGCTTTCTAATATAATCTTTTATTGACATAATTAATGCAATAATTGGCATTTGGTATATTTGGTTACCATGTACTTCTTACCCATTTAAGGTCGTCGGTTTGAACCTCTTACGCGGCAACATGTTATTTTCTTACTTTTCTCGTCAATTTTTTTTATTTCTTGTCAAGAAAAAATAAAAGGTATTTCTTTCTGAGTAATGATCCTTTGGGGTCCTCCTCCACATCGTCAAATTTTTTTTCATTTCTGGTCAAGAAAAAATAAAAGGCATTTCTTTTTTAGTAATGATCCTATAGGACCCTCCTCCACCCATGTGTATAGGACCCCAAAGGATCACCATTAAAGTTGGCATGGATCTCTAAAAAAGTTATCATATGAGTGTGAGACTTGACTTTTCTATAGATCCGTACCAAATTTAATAATGATCCTTTGGGGTTCTGCACACATGGCTGGGGGAGGGTCCTATAAGATCATTTATCTTTCTTAATACAACAAGTATTTTTTGTCAAAAATAAAATAAAAGGTAATACAACAAGTATCATATTTTTCTTATAAAAAAGAAATAAAAGATAATACAATGAGTATTTCTTGTCAAGAAAAACATCAAAGGTATTTCTTAATACAACAAGTATTTTTTGTTATTTTCTTATTTTTCTCGTAAAAAAAGTAATGCAACAAGTATCATGCTTTTCAAGCATGCATTTAAGCTGCAATTATTATAAACTTAAATTAGATATGTAAAGATAGTACAATATATAGGCTTGGAGCATGTTAGCTCTTTTCTCTCTCTTATTTATGAATGCCTATTGTTAGGTTTATTTTACTTATATTTTTTGTTTTTATAACATGGCAATCTTTAACATAAATTTAAGAATATTAATTTAAAGATAGGGTTCATACAATGAGGCCATTTGAAATCTGTCTCTCTCTACTAACAATCCCTTTTATTAAATTTATTCTAGAAACCTAAAAAATTATATTTTTGAAAAATTAAAGTGTTATTTCGAAAATTGGTATGCATTCTAATAATTTCTACATAATAACCAAATCTTTTATTTTATTTATTAGTTTATTTGCATTATAAATTATGTAATGTACTAGTTTTTCTTACAATTGTTAATGATATATTTTAAATTAGATAATATTATAAGATATTTTGGATTTTTTATTATTTGTATAATAAAATAATTATAAAATGTAAACTAACAATTTTAATTTTAGTATATAATATTATAGTTAGTTAGGTTATAATAATTTTAGATTATAGTTAGTCAGGTTATAATAATTTGAGTTTTTTTTTCAGCGGATTAGGGTTTTCTGCCAATTCGAGATTTTGGTGACCATTTTTTCATCGATTTAATCCATTCTTTATGGTAGTCATGTATGATTATATACTTCATCTATGATAATTCTATGATTTTTCTTTTGTGATATGTAAATTTAATGGTAAACATAAGTTCATACAGGGAAAAAACATCTTAATATTCGCATATTGATAAAAAGATTTAAAGTTAACAATGTAGTACCCCAATTTCTTATTGGATTCCTAAAAAGCAACATTTATAATAAATTTTTATACTTTTTTTGGATTTTATTTAATGTTTAATCCGATCGATTCGGCTGATTTTCAATCCGGATCGTCGATTCTCCGATCCGGATGAGTTTTTAGGGTGCCCGATCCAGAACACCGATCCTTTTTTTAAACCACTGCATGAAACACATGTAAAATCACTACAAATTCCTTCTCTCATTAAATCATACATTTGGAGTTTTTTATGGCACGTTTGGTTCATATGAAAATATTTTCATATGAAAAGTTATCTTTCAAGTGCACTACATAAATTAGTTGCCAATCGGTATGAAAAGATACACTAATACCAATTGGTATTTCCCACACTTAACCGCATGAAAAAAATTTTCATGTGAAAATCTTTTCTAGAAAACATTTTCAGATAAACCACACATACAAATATGATCATTTGAGTAAAATATGCTCTTATACATTATCTGTGGCATGGAGATTATGAATATGTCTAGAAGAAAGGATATTTTTGTAAAAACAATTAGACCGTAAATTTTTATTTGTTTTAAAGGGACCACCGCTTTACATCCATCTTTAAGATGGATGTGTGATGACTTTGGGGGCAGTTTTCCTTAAAAGATGGTGCAGACCTAATAATCTTCAAATAATTGAAATGAACAATAGATCGGAATCGCCTTATCCAAATCGATTTTTAAAGGAACCGGCCTTATTTTCTTAATATGTCAAGATCTGGGCAGTTTTTGTTAAAAACTGATTGGTTCTCTAACCGAACCAGTCAATTCGCCCAATTTTTTATTAATATTTATATTTGTTATTTTTTTTTATTTTTTAATATCTATTCATTGATTTATTTCGGCAAGATTACCTATCCGTTCGCTTTACCCACACCAGTTTCTCAGGTGGCCACTTCACCTTGCCGATCCCGATTTTTAAATAATGGCGTTGACTGTCAACAAATATTTCACCGTGCTACTGTGAACAAACTACGGCGTCTTCCAAAGCACAAGTCTAGTGTGAACAACCGACGCAAATTATTTCGGGAAATTGCACAATGAAACCCTTACTTGCATATATAAAATTAGGGCAGCTCGGGCCAAGCTATAGACCAAAGTTTATATAAAATTAGGGCAACTCGGGCCAGGCCATTGACCGAAGTTAAAGCATTTGATAGCCCAGCTAACATGAAAGCCCAACCAACGTGTGCTTATCCAACAAACATATGATAGGCCATCCGTTCAACCTAAGGGTGGCAATGGACCCCGACCCAATTTAAGACATGAGGGGTAGACCTGATCCAAAAATTGGACCCAACGGGTCGGGTATCTAAAACCCAAACACTATTTGGATCCGATAAGGTTCGGGTCTGGTAATTTTTTTTGAGTCCCTATATATTAAATATAATTAAAGAAAATTGTTTCACGAGGCCACATTTTTACATTTGCAGTCCCCAAAATATAAAGAATCCATCTTAAACAGTCCCCAAGGTATAAAACATCCATCTTAAAGATGGATTCAAATAGAAGATCCATCTAAAAACAGTTGAAACTAAATGTCCAATTATTTTCTTAATAGAATTATTATTTTTAATTATTAAAATTTAGTTATTTATTCATATTCATGATCTTCATGTTAGAGATTACATATCCTTAAAATTAAGTCCAAATATCCATCTCAAAAATAGATTTTTAAGGTGACTCATTTCTACATGGACTCATAGAAACCATGTGCTATAGTTCAGTGTATAAATATTTTAATTTTTGGGTCGGGTCCAGATCCCACACTATATTTTTTGGCGTGGGTTCCCATATCATTTTTCGGGTCCGGGTCCGGACAGACCCAACCCGACCCGGTGCCACCCCTACATCCGAATGGACCGAGGCAAAGCCCAAGCCCTTTGGGAAAGTCCAGGCTCTAGAAATAACACAACCTTCATCAAACAGGGATCATAAATCACTCACCCTTGCTATGAAATACAAACTGGAAACACATCAGAAAAGGCATAGAAAACTGTAAACTAAAAAAAGTTGCCCAAGCAGTCCATCAATGAGTATATTCAAGTTACACAAGCAAGAGACCGAAACAGTGTTTGAAAACTCGCTGAGCTAACTCGGTACCTGCCCGAGTCGGCTTAGCTGAGGAAAGCGAGTCCCAAGCTAGTCACTCAGGACTTCGAGCCTCACCTATTTCAGGCTCACCTTTGTTAAGTTTTTAGACTAAGCCGAGTCATGTTCAGAATGGGCCAAGCCAAACTGGTAAACTTGGGGTCAGGATCCTAGCAGGATCCTAGTAAACTGGTAAACCTGGGGTCCCAAACACTGGTAAACTTGGGGTCCCAAACACTGGATTGGAAAAATAATAACACTGATCCATGACGAGAAAATAAAATTCCATCATAGAAAATAATGATACCTTGTTTGATGGCACAAAAGCTCAGAACTGAGCTCTTGAATACAGGAACATGGAATAATGAAAAGGAGAAAAAGGAACAGGGAAATGCTGTCCACCAATAACGGAATGAATGAATGACTACGAATCCCTTGATGAACCAAAAAGTGCCAAGCTTAACAAGACAGAAATTATTCCAGAAATCACGATCTATCGACCAAACCCATTACTGGATGATCAACATCAAAACAAAATAGAGGCAAATGCAATCAGGTGACTTTAATGAACAAATATCCTCTCTTGGAGTAATTGTGTATGAAAACTACAATTTCCTTTCATTGATGAGGCCACATCTTTGATAAAGAATGTGGAAAAGAAACCACGTTATAAACAAGAAAATGACATGAATGCATATACATTTCTACAAATCGAATGAGCACCCAAGTCATACATATATCCATGCTATTAACCGTGGCAATCCTATTTTTCCACCAATGTCATGAGAAATTCCCCAAACCTATTTTTCCACCAAAAATGCATCACCCAGTTACGATCAACTGCCATCTATGAAGCGCTGCAAACCCCAAAGAAATAATCTCAAGCTGCCAACATTCCAGTCAAGCTGTTAATTCCAAACGTCACAAACTGAACTCAATCTACAAGGGACATTGCTCAAGCACAAGAAGCAAGACATAAGCTTCATCTATCTGCCTCCTGTAATGCATCTCCAGTATCTCGTCTGAGGGGACTTCTCTAAAAGTAATAGCAAGCCAACATTGTGGGGGGATAAGCCAAACATGTACCTGACATAAGCATTGAAAGAAGATTAGTTACATTCAGGAACATAATAAACACTGGCCTCACAAAATGAACAAAAACACAAACCACTATGTCTTACTTGCTTCGATGAGCTTTCTTTCTGCAGAAAACAAATGACACGATCCACTGAAATAAAAGGAAGAAATAAACAAGAGTGAACTTCCTAATAAACAAGAGAAGTTAATAGAAAATCCAATTTGAGATGAAGTTCAAAGTTTTGTTTGCAATTAACTTGTGTTGCTATCAAAATATAAAGTTATAGACATGAACAAATTTGATCATGCACAAATACTACAGCAAGACCAACCCCAAATAATTGGGATAAGGCCTGGATGATGACGATGACAAGTACTACAGCAAGAGGGAGTCTGTAATGTTGTTCCAATTAGTACCCATCCATCACGTATGAAATTTACCAGGCCTTCTGATCATCAACATATTGTTCGTTGACATACAAATACGAAGCATCAAATTTCAGACTCTACCGACAGAATCGTGGATCCCTTACTCATACTCATCCAATTGGAAGGACGAATCCAGCTAAAACTAAAAACAATTATGCTTCGCAATTCCAGAATCCAAACAAATTTTTTATTCTTATATATATATATATATATATATATATATATATATATATAGAGAGAGAGAGAGAGAGAGAGAGTACTTCGTTAGTATACAACTACACGAAGTATAGTATACGTCGTCTACTATAGTAGTACTAACTTACGTAAGGAAGTAACGTTACTTAACTTTAA